AGGAAAAATTTTGAATTTTGAGGAAAAGTCAGAATTTTGAGAAAAATATAGAATTTTCAGATTTTCAGAAAAAAGTCAGAATTTTCAGATTTTCAGAAAAAACCCAACATTTTGAGAAAAAGTCAGTATTTAGTACATGCCAGGATGATTACCTAGCTGCATCTTGTGACTGTGTAACTCCCTCTCTTGGATATCAGCATGTGAAGGACACTGTTCAGGAACTAGTTGATGCTCTGTATATGATGACTACTTCCATTCTGGAGAGGACCACAGATACATGGATCCTGAGATTGAAGCTCAAGCCGGGGACCAGTGATATCTTTCTATCAGTAAGTGTGTTGTCGTACCTGGACCCTGGCCTCGGTGAGTTTGGCCCTCTGAGCCAGCTCCTCCCGGGTGTAGATGTCGGGGTAGTGCGTCCTCTCGAAGGCCCGCTCCAGCTCCTCCAGCTGCTCCGCGGTGAAGGTGGTGCGGCTGCGGCGCTGCTTCCTCTTCAGGGGGAGATCCGGCTCCGACTCCACGTCCGAACCCTCGTCTGAGTGACTCGCTGCAACACAGGAGAAAGAAAATACTCAAACACTGATGCACACTCACATGTAATGTAGTTTAAATGTTGGCCATGAGGGTTGTGCAACAGGTCTTCATTGTCAGTATGTGTGTGTGTGTATTGTGTTGGTTCAAACGGTGTATGAGTGATGATATGTGTATGTATTTTTAATGTTTATTGTGTGTGTATATGTACATGTATGTGACTGCAGGACGGAGTCCAGAACAAATGTCCTTATGGGGACAGTAAAGTATATCGTATCGTATCGTATGTAGACTGCCTTTGCAAAATCTGCTTTTTTATACAAGGCCTCCAAATGAGCTCAAAACATGCCCAGACTTTCACCTTTTTTTCTTTCGTGCAAAATTGAGCAACCAGTCTTGTGAAAATTAATTAAGAGGAACAAAAACTGTCAAGATGATAATTTTCTCTCAATATCAGGTGTTTTCTTTGACTTGGCTTAGAAACCAGAGGGTTGCCGGTACAATTTCCAACAACTCCAGCTCGATGGGTGCTGTGCATATTCAGTATATAATAGCTGCCCTTGATCGTAATACTATGATGGGTTAAATGCAGAGACTACATGTAACGGTGTGTGGTGCTGTGTACATGTATTATCATTGAAAGAAAATGTGATTCCCATGTTGTCTGCTCTTGAAATGTTATAACTTTTTTTTCCGATAACCCCACATACACATCTTTAGAAAAGTCACATCCTAAAGTGAACACCTAATATTTGACAGCCTATTAAAGGGCAGAAATGCTGAGGTTGTAGACAAACAGATCTTTACAGTAAGTGTATTTTCCCTGATATGAAAGTGGCTGTAACAAACCAAGATATCCACCGTTTAGCTCTCTGTTGCCACTTGTTTACTTGTAGTTTTGTCAACTAAATGTTGTGTAATTTCCTTTCTTTACACACTCCCACACCCACACACACCATAAGGCTCCTTCTTCCTCGTGGTCTTGTGGCCAAACAGACCTCCATTCAGAGGAATATTCTGAGCCTGAGGAATAATCCCACTGGACGAGATTCCCAGGGCACCGCAGGGGGCCGGGCGCACTAAAAGCCACACAAAAGGCTAATTTGGATCCAGGGGCCATTCTCTGAGCGTGTGTGTGTGTGTGTGTGTGTGTGAGTGAGAGTGTGAGAGCGTGTGTGTGTGTGTGTGTGTGTGTGTGTGTGTGTGTGTGTGTGTGTGTGTGTGTGTGTGTGTGTGTGTGACAGTCAGGTGAATGCTGTCTACTTATCTAAAACCAAGCTGGAGTAGATAGGAATCAGTTTGTTCACTTTTTATAATTTGTCTGATTCATAACAAGTATTCACACTTCGGCTTAACTGATAAACAAATAACAACAAAGATGGACGCATGATACACAATAAAATCTGATATTTTAGAACAAGACTTAAGATATAAGTGGTTAAGTCCCAAAGAAATAAGTCAGAAAAAATAAATTGCAAATTATTACATTTGAGAATCTGTAACAACATAATATTTGGCTATTTTTCTTGCTAAATGAAATAAAATGTTATCTAAATTGTTTATTAACTCAATATATTTTAACTTAAATGTGATAAATCCATACGTTTATGTATTGAAATATTATTAAGTGTGGTTTTAAGCCTGACTGAGCTGCTGAGAGTATTTCTCCTGACAGCTTTTGTGTTTCCACTCTCCACCTCCGCCTCAGATCAGTATCAACGCCATTGTGAGGCAGCTCGGTTTTTGAACTCACTTCTTCAAACACTCCATTGGTTCTCCTTCATAAGTTCACCATGGCCAACGCACGCACTTTTTGTGTTACACTTAATTAATTCCCCCTCAGCATAGGGGGAAGTTTTGTGTGCAACACTGTATTAGTTCCCCCTCAGAAGCAACAATAAAATACAAGAGAATCCAAATATCTCAGGGCCCCTCATGTGAAACTGATCCCCTCTCCCCCCTTCGGCGATTTTCTCCACGCAACACCAATAGCAGTGGGAGTCAACTTAACATGCATTAGGGGCAAATTGGTAAAGAAACATTCAAGCATGAGGGAGGCAATAAGTAAAATATTTTCAAAGGGGGAGCGAGAGAAATGGAGACATTGCCTTAAGCCTCTGCTGAATATTGTTGCACTCGTTGATTGCTAGCTTTGAGTTTAGCATTTTAAACAGCAACTGCAAAGAAACAAAAAACAAAATGGCGACTGCGGATTTAGTTTCATCAGCTGTTTGGGAATTTTACAAGTCAAACAAAATACATTTTTGTGGGGTTACATGATTTGTTTTTTAGTGGCTGCAGGAGGAATTTGTGTTGTGGAGAGATGAGGCCTTTTTTTTGTCGCCTTCCCCCTCCAGTGCCTGCATGGAGGAGGGCTGCGAGGAATGCTTTTTC